GTAGTAGCATGGCCTGGTGGTAGCATGATGTGGTAGTAGCATGGCCTGGTGGTAGCATGGTGTGGTAGTAGCATGGCCTGGTGGTAGCATGGCCTGGTGGTAGCATGGTGTGGTAGTAGCATGGCCTGGTGGTAGCATGGTGTGGTAGTAGTATGGCCTGGTGGTAGCATGGTGTGGTAGTAGCATGGCCTGGTGGTAGCATGGTGTGGTAGTAGCATGGCCTGGTGGTAGCATGGTGTGGTAGTAGCATGGCCTGGTGGTAGCATGGTGTGGTAGTAGCATGGCCTGGTGGTAGCATGGTGTGGTAGTAGCATGGCCTGGTGGTAGCATGGTTGGTAGTAGCATGGCCTGGTGGTAGCATGGTGTGGTAGTAGCATGGCCTGGTGGTAGCATGGTGTGGTAGTAGCATGGCCTGGTGGTAGCATGGTGTGGTAGTAGCATGGCCTGGTGGTAGCATGGTGTGGTAGTAGCATGGCCTGGTGGTGGCATGGTGTGGTAGTAGCATGGCCTGGTGGTAGCATGGTGTGGTAGTAGCATGGCCTGGTGGTAGTATGTGGTAATAACATGGTGTGGTAGCATGGCCTGGTGGTAGCATGGTGTGGTAGTAGCATGGCCTGGTGGTAGTATGTGGTAATAGCATGGTGTGGTAGCATGGCCTGGTGGTAGCATGGTGTGATAGTAGCATGGCCTGGTGGCAGTATGTGGTAATAGCATGGTGTGGTAGCATGGCCTGGTGGTAGCATGGTGTGGTAGTAGCATGGTGTGGAAGTAGGATGGCCTGGTGGTAGCATGGTGTGGTAGTAGCATGTCCTGGTGGTAACACTGTGATCTTCGCGTGGATGGTAGCATGGTGCGGTGTTCGTGTGTTGGTAACATGGTGTGGTAGGTTGGTGTGGTGTTCGTGTGTTGGTAACGCAGTGTGGTGGCTTGGTGTGGTGGAAGCATGGTGTGGCTGCAATGTGGTTGTATATTAATCCCAGCCCTGCGTGTACCTAACTAGCACAGGTCACTTGTAATCAAGGGTTCACGTATGCAAGGCCAGATGTGAGGTGTTGATTGCACACGCTGCTGTTGTATCTACAGGTGTCAGGCGATTCTCTGAGGTCTACGTGCAGGTTACAAGGCCCAAGATACCTCACCCACCTGTATGATGGTTACAAGAGTCCCAGATACCTCGCCCACCTGTATGATGCAATTTACAACTTCCCGAGTCCTCACTTAACTTGTGAGCGTAAAGCGCACTCGCCTTTTCCATGGACATCTCTTAGTAGGGGATCATGCTCCTTTCTGTGCTACTTGCTTGTTCAACACGGACTATGCAGTGTGTTTTAGTGTTAGGCCATAGACCTCGGTCTTCTAGATTTTGAGTCGATTTTATCACTGCGGTACGGGTAGGAGTCTGTGATACGTCAGTGAAATGTTTTCCCCATTTTTGATGATTTGATGGGTCTTTGACCGTAAAGTTTGAAACCTTCTACAGCTCTGTCCTTATTGTTGAATTGGTGCTATTAGCTTGTATGCGAGTTGTAAGTATCCATTGAATTTTAACGCTCCACAAACCTCAGTTTCCTTCTCCAAAGGCCTCGTGCGCACAATCTTTCACACACTGATGGGTAAATGCTCATGGCTGTTAAGATGATTACAATCTACTACGCGTCAGCTGCCTCTTCTTTCCTCTCCTCACTGTATTTCAGACTTGCAATAATTTTCATCTTCATTTGTATTTCTTCTATTTGTCTGGATGGGAGGGAATGAGGTGGGAGACGTCAGATGATCTCGCAACTCTTTATTGATTAGCCTGATAAAATACTTTTGATAATGGTGTCTGATTTCGGAGGATTTGAATTGTGACGTGAATCCTCGTGTTGGCCGTGGTCATGTTGCTGTGGTCGTCGTTGGGGTCATGTTGCTGTGGTCGTTACTGGGGTTATGTCGCTGTGCTCGTCGTTGGGGTCATGTTGCTATGGTCGTCGTGTTAGCTATGTTCGTTATGGTTGTCATGTTTATGTTCGTGGCAGTGGTGGGAGTCCTCCATACATCGCTGGCAGCCCACACTACCCCCAACAAGACCTGGCTAGACAATGGATGTTTCCAAATTACAGAATAGATAGCTTGTGTAAACTTACGACCCAGCGGGGCAGACACGCGACGGTAGTCAAGTCTGCCGCATGACGTTCCTGTTCTTCCTTTCTGCTGCCTAATGACATTGCATTCCTTGTCTGTCTCTCGCCTGTCAGGTTGCAGTATAGAACTCCTATTTGCTACCTGTCATTCTACCACATGCCCTTCCCGCTCCTCATGTCAACCAATCCCAAAGCTTTTATAGTGCTTAAAGCCTATTATTTACTCTGATAGGGGTATGTAAATAAGAAAACACCAATTATAAATGTTAGTCAAAAAAAAGTTATGCTAAAATTTCTTTAAATTAATACGGTAGTGATAAAATGTACATTCCCAGCTTATCACTCTTACTAAGACATGACTTGGGTGGGAAGGGGCGGAGGAGGGACACAGCGATTGCCGCACTTACTTTTGACAAAATCTGATAAATCAGCAGTGTGCTGGTACCTTGTTTCACATGAAACACAGTGGTAGTGTTTCCCTCTCATATTCCATTATACAGGATGGCGTTCATACGGAATGTTGAAATCTGTCAGCATGAGCTGGAAGACTTCATTAGGGCAATGAGTATTTTGTCAAGCATTCCATTAAAGGTTCATCAGCTACGGGAACGTCAAAGGTTTTGTTCGAGCAGAGCTGGAGTTACTATCACTGGGAATGGCCTTGTCTTAAGATATCCTATCCGACACAAGGGAGAAATGAAATTTTCCTGAAGATATCTCCATTCCGGGGCAGGGTCAAGTTATATCATACACAGAAGGCAGGAAAGAGTGGGGGGAGGGAAGAGGAATCGGATGACGCAAATCTAACTGTAGACACGTATGAAAAAGAGAGGAGAAATTTGAATGACAATGTATCTAATTACATTCATAGATAGCGATGCAATCTGTATATTCTTAAGGATATGGTGTCATCCCTGTGACAAGCTTTTTTGTTTTTTACTTTTAATACCAAAAATCAATACATCACATCACCAGTGGGCTGCTAGCCTATTCTGTATGATAGCTGCAATGTATATATTGAGTTGAGAGGAGCGGGTACGAGGGGTTGGGGAAACGGCTGGTCAGTGTTTACCAGCACCTCACCTCACATTACTAGCATTAAACAACAGATCATTTGTAGAAAACGCCACAATTTGTATATTTGGAATTATATGGTTAAAGTAAAAATAATTGAAAGGTATAGTCATTTTAACATAGTTTGAGTAACTGAACTACCTGTTGACAAACCAATTCCTGCCACGGTAATGATACAATAGTTATAGAATAATAAATGATGTTTTCGAAAAAGGGTGTATGCAAGTCGTATAAATTTACCTCGGGTTACAGTATATTAGCATATATCACGGCCTTGCCGTTCATCCTGTCAGCCTGCTGCGTTGGCTTCCCTTTCCTCTACTAGCTTGCTACATGACAATTCCGTTTTTTCTGTTTACTGTCAGTTTGCCGTTTGACTTGACTTTTCCTCCTATCTGCTTCCCGGCAACCTTCCACGTGGCATCTCCGATCTTTGTTACCGCACGGCCTTTCCATTCCTCCTGCATGTTGTCACAATGCCAGATGGCATTCATGTTTCTGTAATCTATTCCTTGTGTGTCTTACTGTCAACCTGCTACATGGCCTTCCCGTCTCCCCACATTGCTACCTGACACCTCGCTGACATTCTTCTCATCCTGAACTGCCTTCTGGCTTCATGCTTGCCTCCACAAATTCAGTAAAATTTTGCATAATTTGCCGCGTATCTGTATCCGAACTGTTGTCAGTCAGTGTGACGTAGCATTCACATCTGGATTTCAGTCCCTCTAACAGCTATGAGCGCGGTACACAGCGTGAGCTGCGGCCGTCTCACCCGTTGATTTGGTGTCAGCAGCAACCATTTGCGGAATATCTAAATCTAGTTTATTCTGAATAACTTACCCTCCAAATAGACTGGTGAGACAATGGTACGCTTGAAGTTGGTATCCAGGGATCTACCAGGTGAATACCTGATATGTCCAGGGATCATCGTTCTCGCAGCCTGGTCCAACCTTCGTTGGATCGTGTGATGAGAAAACTTAGAGATTCTTGTCAAGTTATCTCTTGAAAACAATTAGGGGTGTAAAGGATCATTTCAGAGAGTTTTAGAATCTGTCCATCTAGTATTTGGCAGGTGTTAACTATGTTATAGCTTTCTCATCTGACCTCCAGAGATGCAACATTCTCGATTATTTGTTTGAAATGATACTGGAAGCGACATGTCAGAATTCCTTAGCTCTGTAGTTTCAGTTCAAATTAAGTCGAGCTGTTTGCACTGAAATTTTCCAGTCTAGTGAGTACAATTATCTTGGAGAGTATCACACTTGGCTTAATAAATCATTTTTTGCAAGGATTTTGTTATCCAGCCAATAGTTTACCTACCAATTGTGGTCGTAAGACGATAATGGTTCTTGATCCCATGTTACTCCGCTCTAGAGAGTTATTAATCAGTTTGGCACTCCATTCCATTATTTATTCGCTACAGAATTTTATCTCCTTGATTATGGAATTGATTTTTACAGACCAATGGAATACTTTTTATTTCTAAGACCCTCCAAGGGAGATTCCTTGACGCTGGTGAGGGGCTCTTGATCTAGGGAATTGGATCTGTGCTCCGGTTCCCTGAATTGACCCTGAATGCCTTCTATCCCCCCACTTGCGTTGTATAATCCTATGGGTTTAGCGCTCCCCCATAATTATAATATATTTCTAAGATTCTTCTAGAGTTCGGTTTGTTAAAGTTGAAATCCTATTAGCCCACTTTTCTATTTCCTCATTTAGCACGCATATTTAAGTTTGCCAGTGTCATAAAAATCATAAATTTCAGTGTTTGTATATTAAGTGGACATTTTGCTTCTCTTGCAGTGCGTCTGAAAACTTACCGTAGTGTTCCATCAGCTGGGAGAGGAAGATTCCTGCTCTGAAACCCAGAGTTTACTGGCTGTGTAAATATACCTGTGAGTGTTGAGTTATCTAATCAGTATTTTAAGATTTTAATATTGTTTCCAACATTTTTTTTAAACATTGGTTTGCTGCCACCTTGACTAAAGTACATTTGTAACAGGGTGCTTTAAGCTCGAGTCTGGACCTGGGTCAGAGTGCCACAGCTTGCTATCAATGGTGCTTCAATGTAAAGCGAGGTTAGAGTTCTTTAAAAATAAAATGTAGGATTTTATCATCTTTCGTATATTAATTCTTGTTAAGTACAGTCCTGCTGTCTCTCTCCGCACATTTCTTGAATCATCAGTGAAAATTCCATCTCCCCTAAGAAAATTCCCAATACGAGAGGTGTTATTTGCAGCATTTTGGAATTTTCGAGAATTTTTTTCCTAACAAGTATTCTTTTCGTTCTTGTTTTTGACATTTTCATGAGCTTTGTGATTTTATTTGCCTGTCTGAATGAACGAAGTTCTCTTTCTAAATTGCTTCTGTTTATATTTGTAATAGTTCATGTACGGAGCAAATTACTGGTTTGACATATAGTAGGCATTAACATTATTCATTCATAGTAATTTAATTAGCACGCTGCTTTATTTGTACCCATTACCCATGAATATTGCTGTAAGAGTTCAAAATGCCATCCAGTCTGTTGAGTTTTCGTTGACTTGCTCCTGTTTGGTGTCTACACAACTTTTATTTTGTTGCGCATTACCCAGCGTCAATTGTCTTTTGTTTACTTAATTTTTTTGTTTATTTTAAATTGTTACTGTACTTTTGCTAAACCTATAAAAACGCGTATTTAAAAGTAAGCAAGTTAAAACGGATTCGAAACGTCTGACAGAGGAGTATCTTCAAGTAAATCGACATTTTTACCAATGTGTGGTGTACCATAGTTTGGATTGTTGCAATGTCATGGATTATTGTTTTTATAATTATATTTAATGTTATTTTATATATTTATATTATTAATATAATATATAGTATTTAATATATATATAATTAATAACAGTGTTATTTACCATACTAATATCTTAAGATAAAATCATCACTGTTGATTTTTTATGATCTGATATTAGTTAAAATTTATTTTTTATTAATATAATTATATATATATATAATTTATTTATATATATAATATATATATATATTAATATATAATAATATTTAAATATAATATATATATATATATTATATATAAAATATATATATAATATATAATATAATATATAATTTAATATTATAAATTATATATATTAATATATTAATTATAATATATATATAATATATATATATATATAATATTATATATATATATATATATATATATAATATTATAATATATATATATATATATATATATATCAATAATATATATAATATATATATATAATATAATATATTATATATATATATTATATAAATATATCATATATATATAATATATTAATATATATATATATATTATTATATATTATATAGTATATATTATTATATATATAATATTATATATAAATTATATTATATTATATATATCATATATATATTATAATATATAATATATATAGATTTTAAATAATATATATATATAATATATATATTATATATTATATAATGTGTGTGTGCATATTCCTTCGTTATTTGTGAATATTAGGCGAAGACTAATATCCGAAGTGGTCTGTTGAAGTATTTTCTGCCCTTAGGTACTTAAAAGTTTGGTAATGTTTGAAGTTCATCCTTGGATTTTAGTTGATTTTTAGCGTCTTTTACGTTGTTTTCCCTCAAGGGAGGTTCCTTGACGCCTGTCAGGGGCTCTTGATCTAGTGAATTGGATCTGTGCTCCAGTTCCCCGAATTAAGCCCGAATACCTTCCATCCCCCCCCCCCACATGCGCTGTATATTCCTATGGGTTTAGTGCTCCCCATAATTATAATTTTACGTTGTCCCATTTTTTGTTATAAAAGTTTGAATTAGCGCTCAAGAAGACGCTTCATACCTGTTGTGAGTTTCCCTCCGGAAGCTTGTGTTCGTAAAAAAAAAAAAATTTTCGTTACAGATGCCTCGAGCACCTTGTGTCAAGTCCATCAGCACACACGATTATGTTTTTTTAATCAGAATACCCTCGTCCATACGTCTTGACATTAGACACGGCAAATATTTAAAACATTATACTACAGAAACGTTTTGGTCCTGGTACCTTGTTGACTCACCTTGGAGGGAACAAGGTCCCAGTGCCGAAACTTTTTCATAATATCTCCTAAGTGTTTGCCATGTATATTTATTCTTATTTTTTCGAACAGTATCTGTGAGCTTATTCTCAAAGTAGAAAGCTGCTTCTCGCACGAGAAACACTGCATTTATTTCTGCACGTTACAAACACCAGTAAAAATATTGTACTAGTTAATGTAGGTTAGATGACGTTAATGTAACCTAAATTAATTCGTATTTATTTATAACTATTGACAGCGACGAAATTAAATAAACTGGAAACTTATGTCTGGCAGCGCGGAAGACGTTGTTGATAATTATTAATCGCTGGTAAACCCACGCTTTCTGTGAGGTTAGTAGACGTGTTGGAGTACCCTTCACTTCTGTCTGCTGCACATGGTAACTTGGTTTAACTAACATTGTGTAAAGCAATGTTATTAAAAACTTAAGGATTACGAGATAACTTGTTATCCTCTCGTCTACCAAGACATCTGGTAACTGTTACTTTCTGTTTACATGTTGGGACAGAACTGACATAAGTCATAATTAGCAGACGACCCGTCAAAGGGGTTCAGCATCTACGGGCTTATACCAGCTAGTGTTTTCACCCCACTAAAAAAAATTACTACGTAGTTGATTATCCTAAGGACGTTTTTATGCTTCCCTTGTGCACCTATTACAGTACTTTAAATGCATTAAAAAACTTTACACCATTGCAATATTGAACCTCTGTACATTGTACTGTATTTTTCTTCGCAGCACGAATTGCTGCTTTCTTGAATTTCCTAATACAAAGCTTATTTCCAGGAGTATTTGATTGTTTTAAATTTAAAATCCGATATCTTAAAGGAAAGTTCTTGGACTTGCATGAAGCAATAGGAAACTTTGATCTGCCGAGACAAGTGAAAACTGCGTGTTAGTGAAATGAGGTGTGAGATTACCCAAGAGTTGTGTGATGAGTTAGCAGTGGATGGTGGTGAGCACCCACTAGTGAACCTAGCACCACTGAGGCAGCAGCTGGTAGAAGGACCAGCACCCACTGGTACAACCAACACCCGCTAGTACATCCAATACTACTTTACAACATTGTCTTCGCCACATCATTCTCTTCTATTCTTTCTTAATTCCTTTTCCTTTCTTAATTCCTTTTCCTTTCTTAATTCCTTTTCCCAGTCATTTCAGTTCTTACTCCGTTTCCTCCTACACCAATTCTTTCATTTTCTTGTTTGTAGTGTTTTAGAATCTCGGGTTAAAGTGTTGAAGGAGGTTTTACTTCTTCAGGAGGAAAATAGGAGGCTGAAGCTTCGCCTAGATGAGTTTGGGAATGAGTGTGAGAAGGATATAGCCGGTAAGGAGGAAATGGTCACCAGCAGTGATAGTGCCAGCCGCTTTAAGTGGCAAGTGGTTCACAGTTCAGGAAGAAAGAAGGTAAGGAAGGTTAACAGAGAAGATGTGAAGGTAGGAAATCGATTCTCTGTTCTCCAGCACGAGTGTACTTCAGTGGTTAGTGAGATTGAAGGTACCACTGATTCCCCTGCTAATCAAGGTAAGAATATTTTAATAATAGGAGATTCTCAGGTAAGATATATGGACCGTGCCTCTTGTAACAGAGGCAGAAAGGTCAGACAGAGAGTGCCTTCCTGGAGCCGGTGTTGGTGACATAGTCAGCAGGTTGCATAATATTATGTCAGGTAATGGGAACAAGTCTTAGTGCTGGGGGTAATGACATTGGGAAGGGCAGGAGACAGGAGCTACTGGATAAGTACAGGTCAGCCATAGAAGTAGGCCTAAGGGAGGGATCAGAGTCATATGTAGCATCTTGCCTAGAAAGGGAGTGGGTAGTGAATGGATGTCTAGGGCAGTTGGTATAAATTGCTGGCTAGACAGGTACTGCAAGGAACTTGCAATGCCATTTATTGATAACTGGGACCTAGTCTTTGGCAAAACGTGATATGTATGCAAGGGATGGGGTTCATCTCTCGGGGGGATGGAGTTTTTGCTTTACCCAAATTTCGTTGAGAGGGTAATTGTACTTTCTGGGAAATTTTAAAACTAATAGATTATAGAGGTATGGGTGTTTGTGGGAAACAATCAGGCTGCAGTATTAGGGTTAAAAACAGCAATTACCGGGATACCTCAGGGATATGTTTGAAAGAAATATTCAAAATAAAGGTTGCTAGTAATGGCAAACATTGATCAACGAGATTAGAGGGCAAACGAGTACTAGCCCCCTAGAAGTTTACTATACAAAATAGAGTCTAAGAATAAGATAGATGAGCTAAATACAATTGCAAGCGTAGGTAATATAGATATTATTGGTATAACAGAGACCTGGTTCAACCTGAAAGATAGAGAAATGCCTTCTGAATGCAACATACAGGGTTATAAACTATTCCACACTGATAGGGTCAACAGGAAGGGTGGTGGAGTGGCGATGTATGTCAGAGAAAATTTAAATTGTTGTCTTAGACATGATATAAGATTAGAAACAACGAACACAGAATCTGTTTGGCTACAGTTTCTCGAGGGTCGTGATAAATTAATTTTGGGTGTGATTTATAGGCCCCCAAACCTTGATAGGGAGTGCAGTAAGCTGTTATGGGACGAAATTCATAAGGCATCTAGATATGAAAATGTTGTGATAATGGGAGATTTTAAATTTAGACAAATTGATTGGTACAATATGATAGGAAATCTTGAGTCTAGTGACTTTCTTGATACGGTTCAGGATTGCTTTTTAGAACAGGTTGTGACAGAACCAACTAGAGGAAACAATCTGCTTGACTTGGTTCTTGCCAACAAAGAGTCGTTA